TCAGCCAATTGATATATCAGTCAGGCTCTAGAATGAAGGGCATTTTGTATGACGATTCGTAGATGTATCGTGGTCCTATTTTTGACCTGCTTTAGCCTTAATTGACCTGGATAATCCTGTTATAGATCTCGATTAGATCTCTTTCCTTACTTTGGGTTTGAGACTTTTTTTTATTTTTTTATCTGTCATTCTCTAGTCAGCAAACTGTCAGGAGCAGTGGACCAGATAGTAAACTAGTTTTGGTCAGGACTCCCTTAAAGTACTCATCTCTCCAGGAGCAACGAGCACCACAGCACAGTCCTAGACCCATCTCCAGATCTTGAGCTAGTCTTGGTCAGGAGGATTTGAGCTGTGGTGCATGTTTTGGGTTGATGGAGGAGGGATGTGTTGACATGTGGAGGACTGAGTGACTGATTCAAATCAAAAGCACATGATGTTTAACCTGACTCTAGGTTCTAGAGCAGTAGAACAGTAGGCCCTGGTATTTGATGGGACACAGTGCATATTTGTGTCTGGGTGCCACACTCAGACAGTCACGCAGTTTGTTTTTACACCACAGATACTAAGAATAGAAGTGTTGGTGAAGTGTCCTGCCCAGAGACACAACAGCAGCATGTAGATTTGAACTTTTTTTTTTTATTAATGGACAAACACTTAACCCACTGCACCACTGCACCAACTCAAAATACTGTGTTAATATGATCATAAGAGCTGCTTTTGCTTTTTCATTTGGCTTTTGAAAACACTGTTCTTCACTGCTCTGGGGGAGAAAAAGAATCAGATATTTCATTTTTAAATCAGACTTATTCTGCAACATGGGCTTTTCAGAGCTTTTAATAGTGTTATAGCTGTTTCATTCTCATTGAGCCTCTGACATTGTATTTGGAGTGATTTGTGCATGTTTGATAAAGTTTCATGCCTTGCCCTGTACAATGACATTATTGCTTTACTGTCCACACCGCTGTTCATTATAACTATTCTGTAACATTACACACAATCGGTCTAATGCTGTTACACATACAATAGTGCTGTTCAGAAGCCTCCCGTAAAGACAAACTACACAGCACATCACACATGATCAGGGGTGTAGTGGGCGAGGTACGTGGGGGTATGCCGTCCATCCACTTTTCCCGACGTGAGATATAAAAAAATAACAATTATAAAATAGCTACACCTTAAATGTCAAACTGAAGCTATTGGAAATGGTGAAAACAACCTGCAGGACTGAACCAGGACTGAACCAGGACTGAGTGTTGGGACAGGCCCAAAGCTGTGCCCATGTGGACTGTTGGGTGAACACGTGAGAAAGGACCAGCTCAGAGCTCCACGCCCCACGGGTGGCCCCAAGCACAGCTGTGGCCAGATCGCATTTTGCAGTGACACCCCCCGGCCACGCAAACTCTGCCTATGAATCTATCCCCGTTTTCACCTCCACCACTACACGCCCACTGTGATGTATGCACTTCCTTCTCCATTTTGGTCATTTTGGTACAAATGTAAAAGAAAATGCTCTGCTCTAGTGTGATGTGCAGTTATAACCTGGAGGGGCCCACAGCCTGCGGCGCTTTGTTGTTATGACGTTTACAGCAAAGTCAGCTCCCACTGGACACCTCATGGAAGTCAGTGGGCTTGTCTCTTTTATTAAGTCGTTTTAGATCGGGGTGGGCAATTATTTTTTTCTGTGAGGAGAAACTGAAAACTGAAAATATTGTGGAGGACCAGTCAAAATTCTTAACTCAGTTCTACATTTAAGCAAAGGAACTTGTGATTCGATATACTGTGACAGTCCACAATATTATTGTGAGATTTTTGACGATATCAATATCACAATATTTTGGTTACTGTGACATTTCTAGTAAATAGGATTGTTTTGACAAGCTGGTTAGAGTTTTTGCTATGATAAAGCAATGAAAAAGTGAGGCTGACTTACAAAAAATGTCAAAAAAAACCAACATAAACAAACAAAAAAACACCTGTAAAATAAAAGCAATGTAGCTTTAGTCCCTACATGAGCTGAAATGATAAAATATGTTTATTTTGTAATTCCAAATGAGCTTAAACGTGCCGGTTAAAGTCAACCAAAGAGCTTGTTTTCAATGAATATTGTGATTTCAATTATGCAAATGATACAGAATGATCAACGGGGAGGGATAGATTATAAGTACAGAGCACTACATGTTTGCTTTAAGCCTATAATTATTCATAGTCTCGTTCTATTGTGCGTTTGATCAGTGTTTCCCAAAGACTGGGCCGTGCACCTCAGGTGGGTCACAAGAGATTTAGTTGTCACGATCTGCAAGTAGATCTGTGATATACAGTTCTGACACATGTTGAAATGATAAGACATGTTTTGTATCATTTCTAATCTTTTTGTGATTATTTTATTGACTATTTTGTTCCAGTATTGCTGCTTTAATTGAATGAGTGCGTATACATGCACATCAGTATCCTGGTTATGATCAGGTTTTTTGAGTATCCCGGTTTTGTTATGGTGCATGTATACAGTTTCAGTATCCCGGTTATGAGAAGCCGGGATACTGTAGCTGGTGTATTCCGATAGTAACAGGGATACTGTGTCATGTAAACGTAGTATCCCGGTTACTGCAACATAAATTTGAGTGTGCATGCTTCCAAAAGACAAATACGTTTCAGTCTTTTGACCACTACAACAGCGACAAATAAAGTGACCATACATGAGTGAAATGACTGCGAATCTGCACTTGTACGACCTGCACACATATGATCGCTGAAAAGTTAAACATGAAACATCTCGTATACGATATACACACAGAACACACTCACCATAATCAGCACCTCCTCTGGCACAGAAAAAAACACATATATTCTACTGAGTTGTGTCCTTTAGTCCGACAGAAGCACAAGGAGAGAACTGTTTTTATCGATGCTAACAGTTTATGCTAATTAGCCATGCGGTCTTAGTTTCAGTAAAACGTAAACAAATGTGACAAAGCTGAATTATATGATCAAACGGGCTGATGTGGTTATGGTTCATATGTTATAAAGCTGAGTTTATTTATGCAGAATATTTTAATAAAAATCTACACGTTGGATTTAATGTGTGCAGTGGATTGTGGGATACCTCATAGCTCCGTACCGCTGGTTAGCAGTGTTGGGAAGGTTACTTTTAAAATGTATTCCCCTACAGAATACATATTACACACACCAAAATGTAGTTTGTAACATAATCCATTAAATTACTTAAAGTGAGTAACGTAATCTGAATACTTTGGATTACTTAATTTGCTGTAGAGAAGCAAAGACGAGGAAATCTTCACTTAAAATGTTTTGTCTGCTAAAAGAAAACAAAAAGCCCAAACTTTACTTAACCAAATTAAAAATATTATTGATAGAAGACGAGGAGACACAATCCATGCAGGATGATTTAGTCCTGTTAAATCCAGTTTAAGACCTGGTTTAGTCCTGGTTTAGACCTGGTTTGGACCTGGTTTAGTCCTGGCTTAGTCTTGGTTTAGACCTAGTTTAGAACTGGTTTAGATGAGGTTTGGACCTGGTTTTTAGTCCTGATTTAGACCTGGTTTAGACCTGGTTTAGACCTGGTTTGGACCTGGTTTCAGACCTGGTTTAGTGTAATGAGTGGAATTACCAGAAAAAAAAAAAAAAGGGATATAGCCCGAAATGTCAAAACAGGAAAATCCCGCCGTGTAATCCATTTATTTCAACAAAGTAACTGTAATCCAATTACCACTCACTGAAACAGTAACTATAACTGAATACAATTACTCATAATTTGTACTCTGATTACATAACTCTGGTACATGTAATCTGTTACTCCCCAACACTGCTGGTTAGAACCCATGGATCTCTTAAAATAATCTCCCGAGATTCCTGTTTGTATTTTTCCTGGTTTATTAACATAAATTAGGTTATTTTTTGCGCTTGAACATTTGTAAGATTATGTCAAGAAACATGTTTACACGAATATGAGTATCTCAGCGCGCATGTAAATGCAGTATCCCGAATACTTCCATAACCGGGGTATGGTTATAACCGGGATACTGATGTGCATGTGTACACACTCAGTGTTGAAAAGAAAAAGAAATGGGTGATTTATAGATCCTTTTATGCTTGTTCAATGACTGTTTTTTATTGTTTAAAACTTGAGTAATACTAATTGTTCAGAGACACGATCACTCAGTCAACAATAAAATATCCTCATTAATCAAATCCACCTTTATTTTGTGATTTACGAAAAATGTCTATTGACTTGTGTCGCGAAGGTTTGTGACTTTTAAAATATGGGTCCCCAGAAAAGTTTGGGAAACACTGCATTAGATCCTATAGGGTCGGATCATGTTTGAACAGCCCTTATTTACACCGTGTTCCTGTGCCTCAAGTCTTAAGTGTGAAGTGAAGCTCCATCCATCTGCAAAAGAACACACCCAACACATGTGCAATGCAACATACTGTCTCCACCAATGATTAGAAGTCACTCACAATCACTGCAGATGTCAGACAAGTTATTTGTAACTCGCCTCTGCCAAACGAAACATTCTGCGTCATTCTCTCGTATTTATGATTTATGTTTTAGGATTCTTCAGAAGATCACTTTTAAGCACGTCCAGTCCAACATGTTTGTACAAGATTTGCAGTTTTTTATGCACGATAAGACAGGAGATTTGTAAAGGAAACGATGGCACAACCTTTGAGATCTGTTAATTGTGTCCATTCAAATTTCAATATCGATTACATTTGACCTGCTCCCATCTCACGCCAACACTTCAGAGCTTTAGGAGGATGGGAGGACATCTGACACATAGGGATATAGGAGGATGGGAGGGCATCTGACACACATGGGCACATAGAGACGAACACAAGGGCACCTGGCACACTGCAACACACATATCTCCCCATATATAAACCAAATAAGTCACCATGTCTTGTTACTCTGCATGTAATTCCAAACCTGTTTTAACTTTTATTTGGACCTTGAGGCTGTAACAAAACAAAGAGACACTCACCTCATTCACAGATGACCCCGCTGATATCTCCCAATCCACAGAAACAAAGCAAAAGGACAATTAGCAGCAGAATTAGCTCAAGTGTTGGTGCAGTCGTGGTGTAAGTGCCCACGCCTTCCCTCCTCTCCTCTCTGCTCTCTCTCTCTCCTCCCATCAGAACCGGTCCGATTGGTCCCGGGGCCTCTGGCAGCACAAACGTCTAAGCCCGGGCAAGTCCCACCTGGATTTTCAGGTCGAGCCGGAATACCAGACAACAGGTCCGACCGGCTCTGCATTAAAGCCGCAGGCGGAGATCGAGGGACGTGAAGGAGCTGTGCAGGTGAAGCAAGCTGCCACAGGTACAGAGAGAGAGAGAGAGAGAGAGAGAGAGAGAGAGAGAGAGAGAGAGAGAGAGAGAGAGAGAGAGAGAGAGAGAGAGAGAGAGAGAGAGAGAGAGAGAGAGAGAGAGAGAGAGAGAGAGTGCACGAATGAACAGAATCTTTTTCTCATCTCTGTTCTAATGTTTCCTCATCACAAACATACCTGGAGTTGTGTTGTTCAGCCACACATTTAACACACAAACTCTGCAGATTTAAGGTATTGAGTTCTTCTCTCAAACTGAACTTTTCCACCTTGTGATGTCATGTGGTTATACAGGAAGTGCTCCACTGTGTGTTTTTAAACTCCATACACCTTCAATAGAATGTTGTGGATAATTTCAGCCTTAGAATTAGTGTTGTAGTTAAGACCACACTAAACGAGACCAAGACCAGTCCGAGACCACAGTGTTCCAAGACCAGGACAAGACCAAGACCTCTGAGGGTCGAGACCGAGACAAGACCGAAACTTTTAAAGGTTGAGACCGAGACAAAACTGAGACCATAGCCCATCGAGACCAAATCAAGACCATCTTTGTCATTTCCTACATTTATTTGTATTTTACACTTATTTGTGCACATTTATATCAATCTTTTTTTTGTTTTTGTTTTTATCTATCTCCATTTGATCTGATTAAAGTTCATTTAGGCTTAAAATAAGCCAAACAAACTGTACTGTACTAAAACGCTCTTTTTGGTGCCTTTTTTTGGACCCTGATCCACAGTTTGAGAACCCCTTCTTTTTCAAGTTCATAATATTTACAGTTACGTTATCTTTCTGGTTTTGCAGTTATGTTTAGTCTCTGCACATTTACCAGCCGTAATGAAATATGATCACACTTGTAGAGTGTCACTGTCACTTTGAGTCTGAGACAAGACCGAGACCAAGCGCTATCAAGACAGAGACAAGACCGAGACCAAGCTCCATCAAGACAGAGACAAGACCGAGACCAAATGCGCTTTCGAGACCGAGACAAGACTGACAAAGACCAAAGACCAACAAGCAGACCCTTTCGAGGCCGACAAGACAAGACCAAGCTTTCGAGACCGAAGACCAAGTGCTTTCCAGACTAACAGACGAGACCAAACTCCTTCGAGACCGACAAGCCCGACCAAATGCTTTCGACCGAACAAGCCAGCACCATTGAGACCAAGACAAGACCGAGACCAAGCGCTTTCGAGACCGAGACAAGCCCAAAACCAAGCACCATTGAGACCAAGACAAGACCGAGACCAAGACAAGACTGAGTCCAAGCGATTTCGAGATCGAGACAAGACTGAGACCAAGTGGCATCGAAACTGAGACAAGGCCGAGACCAAACGCTTTCGAGACCGAGACAAGACCGAGACCAAACGCTTTCGAGACCGAGACAAGACTGAGACCAAACGCTTTCGAGACCGAGACAAGACTGAGACCAAACGCTTTCGAGACTGAGACAAGACCGAGACCAAACGTTTTCGAGACCGAGACAAGACCGAGACCAGACCGAGACCAAGCGCCAATGAGACCAAGACAAGACCAAGACCAAATGCGCTTGAGTCCAAGACGAGGCCAGTCTTGAGATCCAAACCGGTCTCAGTACTATGACACTACCTGAAATTGTCATTATAGAATTGTGACCTTGACGTCCAGCTCAGTTTAAAGCTCCTGTATGACACAAAATGGATGTTCTAACACTGTTCCCTCTTCAAAAACAGACCACAAACAGGAGTTGTGTTTTGTTGCATTCACAAATCTTTGTACCATTCAGCATCATTGGTCTGTCTCCATCTCCAAAGCTCAAAATGCTCTGTTCCACCTTGTCATCACATTAAGTGATTTCCAAGTGAACATTTCCTTTTACTTTTAGTTCAGAGATTGGAAATTCCTGGTTTGAAATGATCCAAATGATTCTAGTGAAGGTGTGTGGAGTTTAAAAACACAGTGGCTCACAGTGACATCACAAGGTGGAACAGAGTGTTTAAGCGTTTAAATATGCAGAGTTTGATTTATTTCTCTTGAAATGTCTTGAAATACACCTCCACATTGTGCACAAGTCAAACATGAAGTACTACAGTAGACTATGTGCTCTGTGTAGGTGTTCTGTGGACGGTCTGCCACCTGCTTGTCTCCAGGGAAATGCTTTGTCTAGAATGTTCCACAGTCAGGCATTAAAGTCATGTATCTCCATGGAGACAAGAAAATGACACCACCAGGCCAAGTTACAGGTCAGATCTGTATTGAGGTCAGCCTGCTCATGGTAAAGATGGAAAGAAAAAGAAAGAAGAAATTGATTTTTTTGAGCAAGTAAAAACATCTGTACATGTTTGAAGCAGATCTTTGGACTTGTATATTTACATTTATATAATTATGTCTTATTTGACTCCTGCCTCTTGGTCATTTTTAGAATTTATTATTATTTATATTGTTTCCCTTTGTTATTATATTATATTGTGATGTGTGAGCTCCTGCGTCCAAATCATTTCCCTTGTGGATCAATAAAGTTTGTCTAAAATCTGAACTGTTCTTTTCAGAGCTTTTATCGTGTTATAGTAGTTTCTTCTCAGTGAACATCTGAAGTTGTATTTGGAGTGATTTGTGCAGGATTCACTCATCTTTCATCGCTTAATTTCAGGATGCCATTTTGACAATCTCCTCCCGTTTCCTCCCGGTTCACGCCCACAGTGACGTAACACTTCCTTTTCCAGTCTGAATGAATGAGTGAATGTTTATTTGGACAGTACTGCATAGAACATGTATAGCAAAAATGTAAACATATATTTATAATACAAATAAATACATATTTCTTTCCTATAACAGTAAACAAAAATAAATGTCAGGCAGATTTTATTTGGAGTGGCAGGAAGTAAATACTGATTTAACTCCACCTCTTTTCTATTGTCTCAAATGAACAAAGAATATTTTGACTCTTCATTTCCTGGACAATTTAAGATGTATACACACACTAAACATTCTTTTCTTCAACACTGTATTTTGAAATAAATAATTTTGAAACAGCATTTTTGAATACATGTAAATTTGGACAAAGTTTTAGTTCTGTTTTCATGTTGTTCTATAATTTTGATTCCACAAACAGAGATACAAAAACTCTTCCTTGTTGTTCCAGCCTGAGACACTTTAAAGTTTAAAAAGCCTCTTAAATTATCGTTGCCTTCATTCTCACAAAAGAAAAAAAAAAACCCATTACATTACATTGCATTTACATTACATTAGATACATTACTTGCGCTGTTTGGTTATTATCAAATCATTCAGTTTAAGTCATTTGGTGTGAATAAACAATGGATTAGTGTCGTTATGAAATCTGACATTTTAAATAGTTCTTATTGCTCTTTTTTGAAGTTTCATCAGTGGTTCTATTGCGGTTTTATAGTTATTGCCCAAAATATCTACACAGCAAAAACTGGAGGGTTAAAATTTCAGGGTAAAATATTTCAGAGTTGTTTTTAACAGAGTGTTATTTTAACCTTTTGAAAGTTAAGTGGGGGTTCGAGTTGGGGTTATTTGCCAGAGTTGATATGGCTGAAGATAATTCAATTTCCCTTAGTGTTAATTTGGCTCCTCCCACCCACCACTTCAAACTCCTGTGAGAGTAGACCAGTTTGAACCAGTTTTGTACATAATTTAATCTTAAATTAACTAAAATAAAGTGTAAAAATAAAACACTTCTATGTGTTGTTTAGCTAAATCAGGATAACCCTACAAAGTGTTATCTGTTTACTCTCAAAATGTTAATATAACTCTTGATTTATAACAGGAACTTTGGTCCAGTGTTACTTAATGAACATTTCCAAAAATGTTAAATTAACTCTAGAACAGATTGGACTCATATAAACCCTGAGAAAATGTAAAAATTGATTCTGTGAGAGTCAATTTTAACACTCCACTTTTTGATTCATCAGTCAGTTTCACTTCGTTCACTTTGTAAAAACCGTGTTAGATTTTGTTCGCTCAATAGTAGGCGAGTACTTTTTATCATTTAACCAATCACTGCTGTTTGGTAGTCATGTAGTAATGCACCACTAATGGGGCTACCTAGTATATGAAGCTTTTCCCAAATCCCGTAGGAAGAAGGACAATAACATCTTTCCTCTTGATAAAATTCACCAAACATTCTCTTTGTTCCAGCTTTAAATCCTCGACCTCGGGAATCGTTGCCAACACAGAATGTCTGGCTCTTCGCTGATTGGCTGGTGCCCGAACTCACACTTCACTAGACGAATTGTCTAGTGTATTCTGTGCATTAACTTCAGTCCCTTCGTTTAAAAATGCTCTTGTTCAATATTTACAGAACCCATGTAATTGTTTTTGATAATTTTGTTGAATTTTTGTTGTTCATCTTGTTGTGATTATCTTTGAACTCTTTTTTTTCCCCCTCAAACTTGTTTTATTATATGTCAACCAGTCAAGTGTGAGTGAGTGTGTGTGGTTGTGTTGATTTTGTTGTTTTCATGCTTTTTTGAATTTATGTATCCTACTGTCTGCCCTATACTGTATCTGTCTTTTGTTGTATCTGTCTTTTGTTGTTGTGAGGACTCCCTCTAAAACGAGATGGCAAGACATCTCAAGGGGCTTATCCTCCAAATAAATAAATAAATTCTAAATTCTAAAATTCCTGACCTAGTTGCTGGCGTGAAATGAAGTTGAGCGGAGGCACTAGGTGGCGCCAACCTGGCTACCAAATCTCTGCACAATATGTTCAAAATGGTTAAAACAGTGAACACTAAAGCATGTGTAGTGCTTTATGATCCAAAACA